ATGTACCAACTCCAAATCATAACCGGGGTTTATCTCAGCTAGCTGATTGCAGTTTTCAAACTGTACTGAGACCACACCAGGGAAAAAGCAGCCTATGGTGTGAGAGGAAAAAAAGTCAAATTGCGGCTTTATTTCACATTCTGAATGGTGTAGACAGACATTTCAATGGTAAAAAGAAGTCATTTCATAATGCTTCGTAGGGACATAGAACAGAAAAAAATAAAAAGTATCCCACATTTTGGGGTCTTTGTTATTTTTGTGGGTCTGTTGTCCAAAAACACAGAAACCAGAACACTGATATAAGTGATGAGAAGGTTTTCAGGCTAAAAATAGCAGTTTTGGTCAAATACAAGCTGAGCACTTCAGATTTCTCTCTTTCACTTAATTTAAGAAAATGCTCCTCTTCTTTAAAATCCAACTTTGGAAGCTTGACAGTTTTGCGCCATTAGCTGGTATTTACTGAGGAGATTATAAGCATCTTTAATAGGTGAAAAATAACAAGAAGATGATAAGAACGTTGATGAGCGAGAAATCTTTTTCCCTTAAAACTCTAAACACACCCCTTCTCTCTGCAGTACGGATGGCACTTTCATGACTGGGAATATTGTCTCTTTCAAAGAGTTGAGGGAAAGTGTGTGATTGAATGTATTCACCCATTAGATTTTGGAGCTGTGATGCACTCACTCAGCTGTATGCATCACTAACAGCACACAGTCCCCTGCTGCTAGCAGGCTTTTAGAATGAGAGAAGCTTTATAGTTCTGCATTTTAATAGAGAACTTTGAATGGAGTGATGGGAGGATGGGTGAGAGAAGTGGGGGGGGGGGGGGGGAAAGAGGCATCAAAATATTTTCTGAGGAAAATGAAGTAATGACAAAATACCCACCCGGAGTGTGTGGAGCAGGGGGGGGGTTCTGTGAAGGACTGCTTTGGCAAGTGTAAGGCTAATGTGTCAAAAGAAAGTCTGTAGGCACACTGAGCGCTGACATGTCTAGAAGTGTGGGCCATTCAAAGAAAGGAGGAAAAGGTCCAAAAAGCAATACTGAACATCTTAATTACTTTCGGCTTCAGCAAAACATTCCCCTGAAAAGGTTCATTTATAAAGATACCAAGGCAAATCAGCTGCCCCCTTGGTTGCCGTTTGTTCGTCTCTAAATGGAGCTGGGTTAAGCAATTATCACTGGATACTTTTTCTTTCTACGCGAGACCTGGGGAGGCATCTATGTGATTCACCATTTCAAAGTGAAGTTCTTTGTGAAGGCCTTAGTCCTTAAAGAGTGTGGTCAGGAAAACTCATGTTGGAAGAGTAAAAGAACTAAAGAAATCGAATTAAAAGGAAAATGATATTTTATCCATGACAGGACTTTTCAGCAGCTGGCTCGTGTCAACCGAGTCCATCCCGGAGCACCTTAATTGAAACTGAACGGCCTGATTCAAACAGTTTTTGTGAAAGGTCTGAAAGAAAATCTGACAGAAAGGAGGCGATGAAATCAGTCAGCTCCACTAAATCCCTCTGGGCTGGAATATTTCAAATCGCCAAGCCCACACAGAACACGGCACCTGAAAACATCTGCCGAGGAGGAGGGAGCAAACGACCCACAAGACTTAAAAACGACCAAGCAGGGGGGGGGAAAAAAAGCTATCAGAACTTGGGATTCTGACAACGGCGGAGTTAAAAAGGCATATTTTGTCATAAATAAAACATAGAAGTGCAGCATTTCGGCAAACTTCCCCAACGAGAGGTCCCAGGAGAGAGATGGGATGCTGTTTGTGAACTCATGCTTTGCACAGTAAAGGAGGCTATAGCACGCCGGCGCGGCGACTCCAGCTACACTCCCACATCCCGTCCTATTCAGCGAGGACGAGTGCTCTTTAAAAATTCATTAATTTACAGCAAAAATAGATTAAAGCGCCCAACTGCACCAGCCTAAAAAGTTTGGCTTGTGAATAGCATTAATAATGGAGGCGAGCATCCCGAACCTCCAGGCCCGAGCTCGGAGGCACGGCTCGGGTTTTTGTTGCGCTTTATAATGGAGAGTCATTTACATTTTTTAGAAGTGTTACAGCTTTTTGATGCTTGTTTATAATTACATTGTTTTACATGCAAATTGGCAAACAATTGTTACTCATTAAAACATAACCATAGCAGCGCTGCGCTCCTAGCCTGTGTAAGACACCAGCCCTACACCAGGTTCACAATAGGAGCTGCGCACTCAACTCTTGTCGCTGGCAGCACATCTGCCGAGTTCAATCCAAATAGCAGCCCTTTAAAGGTGATCATCCCCTATCTTATCTCTCACATCTTTCTGTTTGAAATCACAGCGATGCTTTGCTAACTGAATCAAAGAGGATTTTGACAAGATAAAAGGATTTACTGCATTAGAATTCAAATTATGGGTGGTTTCCTGGGGATATGGCAAAAAAAATAAAAAAAATCACAGTGACTAGGAGGCACTCAGAGAGCTTAAAGGTACTTGAACAAGAGAAAAAGGTCCGCTCTAATGTGTTGTCATATTCATCAGCTTAGATGCTAACGACAGAAGACTCTTATGTGGGTAAATCGATATCTGAGTATACATAACTTACAGCCTGGCGTAAAGCTCTCCATCCCAACACGCCGCGGTGCATATGAGGTCGTTTCAATAATCACTTTTAAACTGCTGATAAATGACACGACCTGGGGTAATTAAAGTGACCTGATGACCAGCAGCGGCCTGACAATTAGAGGCCGATTAGAGCGCTTCCAGCTAAGATGACACCTCGTCTTCACCCCTTTTAATAGGCACTGCCAGGCCATCTTCAGGCCAGGCGGTTAACCAGCAGCCCCTTTAGTGTCCGCGATGAAGAGGAGCCGACAGCTTCCAGGCATCCATCCATGCAACAGAAGACTGTGGGCGTGCGCGTTTGCTAAAATCATATTGTTTCTCATCAAGTTTTTTTTTTCTCCATTAAATAAACAGTATCTTTTCAAGGTTAAACACACAGCAGCAGTGTGAAACGCAGCGAGTCCATGCTGCAGTTGTGACAAGCTCGGCGTTTTCTGCACAGCATGTCAAAGAGTTTACTTACGTGCTGCAAAAAAAAAAACAAAGCCCTCTGAGTGATACACGCTAACGCAGATCACGCTGGGTTTTTTCAATAAACAGACAGTGAACGCCACATGGGCACCGGGGACTGCCTTTGGGTTCCATACAGCACGTACTGAAAGACAATTCATCAAAAAAGGTAAATACATATTAAAACAAGAGGAGGGCAGGATTGTCTGAGGTTTCCAACAGGGTCAGAGCTCATTTTCCTGATTCCATCAGATTTAAGTTGGGTGACAAATGATTCTTTTGGCAGGCGATGAGCTGAGAGACTGGCTGCTCACTAGCGCCTGTGAAGTTTCAATAAGAGCATAAAGCCAAAATCCAAATTAACGGGCTGATTCAGGCAACCTGAAAATGTTGACAGCCACGCCAAAGTCAAAAGCCTGTAGTTCATCCACAAATAATCCTTTGTTCAACTTTGAAAAATTCATTACCCCGCCCGCTCCTCCGCGCTGCATTTGCTGACATTGGCGATAATTACAACGACCTTTCCGATGATAAAACACAAATCAGTAAAACATTATGATGGTTCCTTCTCTTCACGTTTCATGAGATTCTGTATAACGTTTTAATGAGGCATTTAGGGCACTATGAGTGATGCACGGCTAAAGCCTACAATGGCAATCAGCAGTGAGTGTGGCAGCTGTTCAGCAATTAAAAAGCCAAATTACCCTCAATCAACACCATTTACAAGCACAAGTAAATCTCAGAGCAAATAATGATGAGAGAAATCTGTTCAGACAGCTCTCATCTTGATAGGAATTAGAGACGCATCCAAATCAGGAGCAGGGTGTTCTCTCAAACCCTCTCTGAGCCTGTCATACACACACACACACACACACGTGCACACACACTTTAAACTCCCCTTTCCTGCAGATTTTCAGCGAGGTAAAGTTGAGACATTATTTTCCAGTTGTGCCCACTGCGGTATGAGGAAAAGGTAATGACTCTTTACGGCATAAGTAGTCACAATTCTTGGTAAGGTTGCAATCTCTTCATGGAAAGAAATCACACTGCTCAGTTTATAAGATGCTTGGGAAAAAGATGGTGGCATTAATAAAGGTACTGGTAAATTACAATTCAACTGTCAAAACCTCCTTCACCTAATCCACTAACAAATGACCTATAGCAGACACGTTTTCTGCTCCAAACTTGACATACAGGTTAATGTAAAATCTTTAAAAAAAACTCCATCAACTGGACACAGAACACAAGACTTACTGTCTTTGTCCTTTAACGTTTCCCAGCATAAAGTGGACACTGGAGCCTCTGTTAAAAAACCCTGGCCTGATACAAAACAGCCACAGGCATGCAAACAAGAGGCAACTGTAAATATGTAAATATGACTCAATAACAGACCAACACCCATGGATGGATGAACTGCTGACGCAGTGAGAGTTCATCATTTAAGAAAAAAAAAAACTTGTTGACATTTGTGTCCAACTAAAGTTAATTCCTCAGGAATCCCCTCGGTCGTGCTCCCGTGACCCGGCCCGGCTCATCTGGGACGCATCACCGTGGAGTCCAGCAGTTTGTTTTGGTCACCAGCTGGTCCACCGTCCACTCGAGGAGTCTTACCGCTGCGAGCCACAGTCGTGCAAAATGCGTCTCAACCCCCCCGTTTCATTTATCGTTCTATCTTTGCAGGATTTTTTTTTGCCTCAACGGATCCGCCACGCTATTGTCTACACGAGACTAGGAGGGGGGAAACTTGCAGAAGTTGACTTTTACGGATGCACGCGGGGGTTAGCAGACACTCCGGCGGGCTGCACGCGCGCACACTGTCACGGGCAAGCCAACTTGACACGGCCTGCCACTTAAGTGGAACCACCGCTTTTTAAAACCATGTCTCCCGTGTTACCGTTACTGGCAGAATTCCATCCTGACAAACGTTAAAAAAAAAACGTGCAAAATGCTACTCACCGTGGTGGACGAGCATGAACCGGCTCCGCTTTTTCCCCCCACTCCAGACGCCCAGGATTGTGCACTTGAAAAATTCCCCCCTTCCGAAGACAAAAGCTCCCGCGGAGCCTTTTCCCCCCGTCAGGCGGGCTGCAGCACCCCCCCCCCCCCGGTGCTCTGCGGGCGTCAGGCTCAGCTGACCGCCGCTGTGGTCATTCGACACTCTTTGACGGGGAAAGGCTCGACCCGCTTGTTCTCGTCTGAGCTCAGCGAGACGAGATCCCGGGTCTCAGTGCTCGGTGCTCCGCTGACAAACCACCGGAACTACTTCCAACGCCAGCCGGAGCACGTTGAAGATGAATTCATGCACCACAATGGGAAAAAAATGAAATCACAGCCATTTAACTAGTCCCCCAGATTCAATATTAATGAGATGCTACAGGCACGTGCCTGCTGTAAGTAAGCCCAAAATATCATATCATGATTACATGCCACACATATAATTACAACGATCCTTTTAATAATTGCAACCCCCCCCCACCCCCCACCCCCACCCCCATATATTAATTTATTCAATTAAAATGACCATAATCATCCTCATTACTGCCCAGCCTTTTGGGGTCATTGACTGTATATCTGAAGGGTCAAAGTATTAAAATTACTGTCCCGATACTTGAAATAGATTTTAGGATCAAATATATGTGTCAATAACGGATGTCTCTGCAACAGAGAAGCACTTTGCACCATACTGCTTTACTGTGCCTACAAATTTGCGTTTAGTAGTGTTTTATGTGGTTTATTGTCAGACATAGGAGGAGGTATTCCTTGTCTACGCCTGTACATTGTGATTAGAGGCCTGATGTGAAGGCACAGCGCACCCACCTGGA